TTTCAGCCAGCCAGACTTTCTAAGAAGTGGTTAACTTCTTTAAGTCCTAATTTCCATCCTTGTTTCCTTGCACAAAGCTGTAAAGTCTGTGAAATTCACTTTAAAAGTTAATAGTTGCCAATTTCAGCAATAGTATGCTGCTTTTAATTAGAAATCAATATTGCATGCCCCCCAGAAAAGGAAACTTTTTTTTCCACATCTTAAAGGCAGGAATAAATTATCCTCAAAAGAATTACACTCAGTGAAAATGTTGCCTTGGGTGCCACTAGCTCTTCTTTTTTCTCACATGAATTCTCTCTCACACACACACACTCACACACACACACACACACACACACACACAAGCTGGAGATGAAAGCTCCATTCGTATAACTGTGTTCTAAAAGAATTAATTGAGATGGCCACTGAGGGTAGGGAGAAATTAATGTCCATGATGGGATACAACATGCCAACATGGACATCAAAGTAGTGAAGAAAGATTACAAAAGAACCACTTAACACAAACTTTACCTGATCACGTAAAGCCATACTCTGCATCCACATTCACTGACTGCAGAGGACTGGGTAGAATATATTAGGACATTTTGATAATGATGCTGTGTGACTCAAAATGAAATTTTTTCATAGTTAAACAACATTTGAGATGTCACACCACATGGATACTTTATTTGTTTTTCCAATCTTTTATTGTCCAGTTTTAGTGAGCCGTGTGATTATAGCTTCAGTTTCCTGTTCTTAGCTGAAAGGAGTGGCTGCTGTTGCCCATCTGCTCCAAGCTTTGATGCACTGTGTATTCAGAGATGCTCTTCTGCATACCTTGTAACAAGTGGTTATATGAATTACTGTTGCCGTTCCTCTGCTCAAAGCCATTTACCCATTTATCTTTGACCTGAGGCATTTTGAACTTTCTTTGTAAACACCAGTGAGGGTTGTGCGGGAAAATCTCAGCAGGTCAGCAGTTTCCAAAACAGTCAGAGCAGCCCATCTGACAAAAACAACTATGATTATTATTCTTTTTTTTTTCTTTTTTTTTCTTTTTTTTTTTTTAGCTGTCAGGGCTGGGGGGCTGGGAGGAGGTGCTGGCCGTCAGACTGGGGTCTGGGATGCGGGGCCTCCCTGCTACTGCAGATAAGGAGGTGGTCCGCTTGCCTCCACCCCAGAGAGAAAGGTTACATCTCCTGGGTCTAGGTGCGGCTTGCCCCTCTGGACCTGGGATATAGAGTATGTTTGGGGAGTGCGACTGTCTGTGCAGTGTCTATTTGTGTCTGTCTACACGTTGGGTGAGTGCCGAGTATTTGGTTGTGTATATGGGGTGGGAATGCACGTCTGTGTCCGTGTGCGCCTGTTCGTCTGTGTCTATATGTCAGGTTGGGTCTTAGACTCAACCTCTCTGGGTACATCTCAGGCCCTCCAAAGTACGGAGGCCTATCTCCCCTCACCACACTCCCTGCCTCCCTGTACTCTGGGGCCTCTGGATATCTGGGGCCTGGATCTCCTCCATACCTGCTTCATACCCTGGTGGATGGGGCTGTGGCTCCCCACACTCCCTAGCAGATCGTTACATGGAGAAACCTTTGGAATACAAGCATGCTGATCCACACAGGTATGCACACAGGTGTACACACGGGTGTTCACAGACGCGGACTACAGCTTTCTTGGCTGCTGCCTCAAAGCACATTGTGCGCTGTCTATCTTGCGTGCTGCACAATATCGTTTATTATTTAGTATCTACTGCTAGCTAGTTTATTGTGATGGTGCCGTTTTTTTATTATGTTGCTCTTTGTTGTTTGCTTTCTCTTCTGTTTTTTTTCTCCATACAGGTGATCCAGGTGTTTTTTTGTTTGTTTGTTTTTTCTTTTTCTTTCTTCCTCCCTTTCTCACCGTCTCTTCTCCCCTTTGGTTTTCTTTCTCTCCCTCTCTTTCTTTCATTCTTTCTCCCTGTCCTATCCCCCAGTCATGTCTGTCCCGTTTGTAGCAACTGAAAATAAAATAAATTCATAATTATAATAAAGGTCAATCAAATGGACCAATGTGGCAAGGTCATGATGATCCATTTGGTAAAATAAATCCGCTTGGCATCTTTCTTGGCCTTAAGACAACAATTCTGATGGCTAAAGATCCAAACGGGACACAAAAAAAAGAAAAAAAAAACTATGATTATTATTCAATTATTCAAAGTAATTGAAGTCACTTTTCTTCCTCATTCTGACACTGGGTTTGAACTTCAGCAGGTTGTTTTGGTCATGTCTATACACGTCTAAATGCACTTAGTAACTGCCACCTGATTATATATTTATTAATGAAGAGCTAAACAGGTGCACCAAATAAAGTAGTTGGTGAGTGTATATGCAGCAAATATAGATTCTATTCAGGCTTTACAGATGCATTATGTATGGGCAGAAAGCTTAACTTCATTCAAATTTATAAACATAGAATCTTCTTTATGACAGACAAGAATTTACCACAAAAGACAACTCATACAGTAAACTTTTTTTAACAGTGCTGTGCAGATACCTCCCACATGAGTGGATACACATGAGCCTTTTCCACACAACCAAGAAGCTGTCCACATACCATCATCTATTGTCTTAATGTCACAAATTAGGCATTTTCTGAGATGTAATACAGTGCTAAAATCATCTGTGGGAATTGACAGCGCTGCAGACTTCTGTGTTATTATTGTTAATTTTCTGCATCCGGGAATATTTTTTGCATATAAAATATTACCTCTTTGCTGCCTGTAAGTCACAGGACAAATATGGCCAGAGTCGGAGGTGCATCAGTTCAGCTCCATTAGTTCTATCTAACCCACAAACTCCTCTTTTAAGTAATATAAAGCAGCAGCCAAGAAATATCAATATGTAATCACCATAGCTGAAAACTACCAAAGCACACAAAGGCTGCATGAGTGTGACAGCTTTGTGATTGCGTGGCCCTGTTTGACCTAGTTCCACTGCAATCAAGGACAGTGAAATGCACTCGAAAAGAAACGACCCTTATCAAGGACACATGAATGTGTATGTCCGTACAGCAATTTCTTTGCTCAAAAGTGGTAAAGAAAAACTTTCATTTGGAAATTGCCAAAGTATGTTTTCTTAATGCAAGGAACCATGGTGATCCGAGCAAGGGGCCTTTAGCTTGCTATATTGCCATCTGCAGGACGGTGCAAGTAAAACACCCGAGTCCTCTAGTACAACTTGCATCCTTGATTGAACAAAATAAAGCAATCTTGCAGTTTGACCTGCACATACAATTGTAAATATTCCATTTAGAGGTGATGAAATTAATGATTTCTGCCATTTTCATAACTGTTACAATAACCGTGGCAATAGCATTCATTTTTAGTGGTCTGGAAAAGTAATTTTGCAAAAGAAGTGAGATCTTTATGCTTCCTGATAATAATGCAGCACAAAATGATTGTATAATAGGTTAATGTGACTGTACAACTAATGATGTGGCAATACCGGGTTTCAGTCACATATTTTAAGAATTTAACTAAACATATACAAAAGTATTACAGCAGCTATTAGAAAGGGAGAAGAAGAAAAAAGGACTGCATTTGTGACGGTTATTTTCAAAGTTGCACATTACTGCTTTAAATGTTACCAGTGTTTGCATTTATCACTATGATTTCCATATTTTAAAAGGGAAAGTGAAAACTATTCATGATTAAACAGTTTGATCTGGTGCAGAAAACACAGCTCGCTGAATATGAAAGAGTGGGCTTATCACTGGTTGCAGACGGTTACGTGAGGTTTCATGCATCTTGCTTCTTCACAGCAAAAGCTGCAGACTTTGTTCATGACAATAGCTTGTCTGTTCTTACTGGGTCTTTGCGGGTTTTCTTTAGGCTGGTCCGGTTTCCATTCTAGCGAATGGGAAACTTTCAGCGCTTGCAAATGTTTGTCTGTTTAGTCTTGAGATAGGCTGATGATCTGCAGAGCATGTCAGCTGTCACTGATACACACTGTAGTTGGGTTTTCCTTGACTAAGAACAGGAAAAATTGTGTAGAGTATGCTTCTTATGCCTAAGAATGCTTATTTATTGTTGAACAGTGGACAAATTATGGAGGTTACTGTTGTTTGAATTGATCTAACCAGTGTGTACCCATTCCAGAATAAGGGTTTAGATTTTGCCACCACACCTAAGAATGAATATATATCTGATGTATCAGCTTAAAGGGAGTGGTCTCTTAGACTAATTATAGTTTTGAACCAGAACACTTGCTTCAGTTCATTCAGTGGATGATAACACGTATTAGGTGTAGACAGTCCATACTGGTTTATATCTATGGGGCTAATTACTGTTGACAACACCCATTCAATGGACTGATAACATCAAAATTGGGTGACCAGATTGTGTAATGAATCAACAGACTGTTAATGTTAAGTTGATTCATTACACAATGCTAAGCTTTCAAGACAGCTGTAGTGTAATCATCATGGCAACCAAGCTGTGGTTTGTCCTTAATTGCTGTGTTTGTAAGATGTAGTTTTCAGTGTTTTTCTTTAAAAGTACTGTTGCTGTACTGTTCTGATGTAGTCTTTGTGTTTCTCTGAAAGTTTACAAGAACAAGAGCCTGCAGTTCTACATTGCTATTCTCAGTGACAATAAGAACCTCAAGACTATTAAGCATTGAGTGTACTAGTATATGTTTAAAACTAGAAATCTTTTATCACAAAGCTCGAACTTTTTAATGGCAAAGCATGTTAGAAATAAATGTTTTTTTTCCTTTGTTTTCTTATGTTTGTGGGTGTGCGTATGTGCATGTGTATGTATATGTGTGTGTATTTTATCCATCAATTTATCACCCATCCATTTTCCACTTATCCGGGGCCAGTTCACAGGGGCAGCAGCCCAAGCAGTGAAGCCCAGTCCTCTGTCTCCCCAGCCACCTCCTCCAGTTTGACTGGGGGAAACAGGCCAGCCACCCTTCGCAGAAAGCTCATTTCTGAGCTTGTATCCGCAATCTCATTCTTTCTGTCACTACCTAGAGCTCATGACCATAGGTAAGGGTAGGGACGTAGATAGACTGCTAAATCGAAAGCTTCGCTTTTACACTCAATACTCTCTTCACCACAACAGACAGGGACAACGTCCATATCTCTGCAGCTGCAACATCAATCCGTCTGTGGATCTCTTGGTCCCCTCTTCCTTCGCTCGTGAACAAGACCCTGAGATACTTAAACTCCTCAACTCGGGGCAATACCTTCTTCCTGACACTGAGTGGGCACTCCACCCTTTTCAAGCTGAGGACCAACTGGCCCCAGACTTGGAAGTGCTAATTCACTTGGCTGCAAACCGCTCACGTGCAAGCTGGAGGCCACCACCCAATGAAGCAAACAGAACCACATCATCTGCAAAAAGCAGAGACGATGTCCTGAGACCACCCAAGTGGAAACATTTTGCAACTGAACAGAAACGGTGGCAAAGGGCAGCCTTGGCAAAGTCCATCACCCACTGGGAATGAGTCCGACTTATTGCCAGCTATGTGGATCAAGCTCTTGCAACAATTGCATAAGGACCAAATGGCTCGTAACAACAGGCCAGAGCGCCTATACTCCCCGGAGCAGCTCCTACAGAATACTCTTAGGGACACGACTGAATGCATTCTCTAAGTCCACAAAACACAAGTAGAGTGGTTGGGTGAACTCCTATGCATCCACAAATATTTTCGAGAGGGTAAAGAGCTGGTCCGGTGTTCCACAACCGGGACGAAAGCTGCATTGTTCCTCCTGTATCCGTCCCAGGGAGCCTGCCACCAAGGAGTTGCTTAACTGCGCTGTGACCTTGCCCTCTGTAATGCATGAGTCAGAACACTTGTCTTCCCACTGGCACGTCTTCCTCTATAGAAGACGTGTCACTGGAATTAAGGAGGTCTTCAAAGTATTCCTTCTATCACCCAACAATATCCTCAGTTGAAGTCAGCAGCACTCCACAGTGTTGCTGACTTTAATGCAGTGTAGATAGAAATCGATAATAACAGTACATGTCCTGAAAACAGAAATGTACACATAGATCAGGAGGTTGCTATCAATTTCAACATGTCTTATATCAGGCCTGCTACTTGCAAATGTGCAAAGATTTATTGGCTGATAACAGAGTGTATTGAAGTTGTCGTTTAACTTGAGCCCATTATAGCTCTGTCAGTTATTGACTTGTGAACGCATTTTATTTCTCCACCCCAAATGCACTTTTCTGATTTCTTCTTCCTGAATGCCCGTCAGAGCTCAGTAGGTCTTATTTGGACACTCTTGTAGAGGGAGATTCTATGACATGGCAGGAAGGGAACCTACAGGTGTGCTCATCCTTTACACTGCATGCCTCCTTTGTGGTACCACACTCTGCTTGGTGAGAAATTGTCATTTTGTTTAGTTTTTATTATCAGAAGTGGTCTTAGGAGAACTTGAAAGTTGACTTTTATACACTTGAAAATCAATAACCAGTATTCCTTTTTCATTTATTTTAATATTTAGCCAGCAGCAAAATTATTTGGTAAGTTTTTTTTCTCAAACAAGCAAAGGCTACTTTAACTGTTTTTGTTACTTTTTTTTTTACTAATTTTCATGTTAAATTACTACTTTGATTTTACAGTCTATGATGTGGACGGTGGACGGGACCTTGACATTTTTGATATCAATGAAGGTATTTTAGAAAAGAAACAGAAAAAAAAAAACCCCAGAAGAAAATGTTCTCTTTTTCTTCCAAATTCCAAATTCAGTTCTCTTAAACTTTCTTTGTGCTTTAATCTGATCAGAGGCAGGGTTGAACCTTGCAGAAGGGGACATAGTTCTTGATGAGGTAACTTAATTGAACTTCTTTCCCCAACAACACAAATTAATGGATTGGATTAAAGTTCAACAATGGCTCAATATTTTGTTCTTTTGTTTGTGGTTTGTTCTTTGTGGCTGTGGCAGAAGCAACCCCGAAATTCTATAATAGGGGAAGAGTACAGGTGGCCAAAGACAATCCCATACTACATGCAAGATGACTTGGGTAAAAGCGAGCTTGTTTTTTTTT